CGAAAGTCAAAATGGTAACGTTTCGATTGAGCCAACGACACCATCAATTGATGACTCGGAAAATGCAACATTGTTGGAAGCCAGCGAAGAGAATGTTGCTTTGTCTGTTGTCGATGAAAGTGTTGCGGTGCCTGGACCAAGTGGTATGCAATCGAACAACGAATGTCGAAGTGGCAACGATACGGTTGAGCCAACAACACCATCCATTGATGGGTCGGATAACTCCACATGTTTGGACGCAAACAAGGAGAATATTGCTTCGGTTGATGAAGTTTTGTTGCCATTTTTGCCGCCAGTTGTGCCGCGAAAGAATGAACATGGAACGAATTTGTCAACGATTCTTGACAGCAATGTACCAAATGAACGTAACTTGCTAACACCCATCGCACCACTTTCACCACAAGTCAATGTTGAAGAGGATCTCATTTGCATGGACTGGGAAGATTCCTCATTATCAATTCTTGATTCCGCCGTGCCAGAATTGCTTGATTTACCAACACCAATCGCACCACTTGATGGAAATCGAAAAACGAAACGAACAGTACCATCGCTTCTACCGATTTGTGATTTGGACGTGAAAACTTACGGCCCGGCTGAAAAGGTTTCAAAAACCTCTCAAATGATTCTGCGGGTATTGGATAAGTTTCAAGAGCAAAAACGACAATCTGTGGGAGCTGATGAAATCAACATCGCCATGGACTACGAATTGGATGAAAACATCGGTCAACTTACATACGACAGTGACTCTGAATAGATTCTGTATGACTTTTTCTGAATTTTTGTCTCGATTTCTTTTGAAAATAAAATAAACCGAGCTGGTGTTGTTTTACTCTATAAACATCCAACCAAATAAATGAGGAAAAAACGAAAAAAACATTCAATATGGCAAATAAATGTATGTTTTGTTTGAACATTTAAAATTTTGTATTTTTTATTGGCAACGATGGCATTTTTTACATTCGAAGAGATTTGAACGGGCAAGAAACGTAATGGACAATATTGTAATTCGGTTTGTATTGAAAAATGAAGCTTCGAGTCTAATTGGATCATTGTTTTTGGGCCAAATTTTCGAATTTGTCGATTCACTGGGTGGATCTTATTTAATCATTTACATCTCTTCTAATCACTTATCATGCATATTCAAACAACTTGTTTAGATTCTTCAAAATGTTCATTGTTTATATGTTTCTCTATATGTGGACGATTATTGAAGAGAGTATTCTCTATGTACACAAAATTTCAAAGCAAATTGCATACATCATAGCGTACTTTGGATTTGAATCTAGTTATATTTTGAATTCACAGCATGCAGCTCTAACTTGAGCCGAGTTGTACAAATTTTTGTGGATTGAAAATAATATTAATTTTTGCCTTTGTAGACAATATGTTGTATTGCAAAATAAAAAGTTGTGAAAATTTCAAAGGAGTTCAAAACTCTCGTGTCCATATGTTTAGGTCAGTAGGATTCACAAAAAAAAATATAGTGATAAAAGAGAATATTTTTTTGAAGTTGTTTGGAAGTGTTAATGTTTGAAATTTTGCTGCAGTCTTCCTAAGGACCCAACTACCCGAGAAGCTTGGTTAAAGGCATTAAATGGTCACGAGTGTGGTTCAAGCCAATTGATTTGCATTGAACATTTTACTCCATATGACTATATCGTTTCAATGAATGGAACACGGTTTGATTTAAAACCTGGTGCTATCCCGAATGTTTTCAATGTTGTCTTGATTGATTACGAAGACGATGCAATTGATGAAAAAGAAGCTAGTGCAGATGATGTTAATGTCGAAGAAATGCGAGAAATTAAGTCGAAATGTGAAAAATTACAAGAAGAAGTTGAGCAGCTTAAGCGCAAAATTGAAAGTGAGAAAATTTTTTCGGATTCTCGCATTTGTCATCTCAAAGAAATTAAACAAAAACAGGCAAAAGAGATTCAAGAGCTAAAACGTCAAATCAAACATCTGAAGGTTTCAATTGATCAGCTGACAAAGGAAAAAGATTCAATGTTTAGCGGGTTTAATGTAAATATTTAATTTATACATAGTCGACATAGTCTGAATGACCATTCCCATAACATGTTTCTTGTGTCTATTTCAATTGTTTAGGCAAAGCAAAAACAAATCACCCAAAGCCTTATCAATAAACCGAAATGCGGAGAGAAATATCCCGAAACGTTTCGTCAGTTTTGTTTCACAATGCATTATCATAGCCCTCGTGCATATGAGTTTATTCGTGAATCTTTTAGTAAACATTTACCGCACCCAGCCACAATACGATCATGGTATGCGAATTCGGATCTCAACACTGAGCCTAACATTATCAATGAACATTGTTTGAATATACTCCGAAGAAAGGCCAGCGAAAAAGCAGAAAGAGGCGAAAAATTAATATGCGGCGTAATGTTTGATGAGATTCACCTCCGTAAGCACATCGGATGGTCAAACAAAGAACGGAAATTGATTGGATATTGCATTGAGAGTAAGAATGAGAATGATTCTGATGCTGAAGCGACAAAATCTGATGTGGCCAGTCAAGCCCTTGTCTTCATAGTCACTGCAGTCAATGATTCGTTTGAGCTTCCAATCGCATATTATTTCATCAATTCAATGGACGGCGAACGAAAGAAAAGTCTACTGGAAAAAATCATAGAAAGATTAATGGATTGCAACATTATTGTATCGCACGTCTCTTTTGACGGTTTCCAGGCCAACAAAAAAATGTGCACACTCCTCGGTGCTACACTGAATGTTTACTCACCTTTTTTCAAGCCATACATTCGAGTTAGAAATCAGAACATTTACATATTTTTTGATATATGCCACATGATTAAATTGATTCGCAATAGACTGTCTGCAAAAGAATTCTTATTGGATTGCAGCGGTAATGAAATTCGTTGGCAATATTTTGTTGATTTGGTTCGCATGAACGATCGTGGTTTTGCTCTGACACATAAAATGAACCAATCGCACATTGACTGGAGATCGAAAAAAATGAAAGTGGATATTGCTGTCCAGACATTAAGCGGGTCTACAGCCGACTCGATGGAGTTATTGATGAACCATGGTATACCGGAGTTTGACGGCGCTGAGTTTACAATCAAATTCATCAGGATTATAAATCCATTATTCGACGTATTCAACACTAAGCATGACCACAATGAAAACCCGTTCAAAAGAGCATTGAGTCGTACAAATGCAGCTCAGATATTCGAATTATTTCAAAAAGCAATTTCATACATAAAAGGGCTCAAAGTAGTGAATGCTGAAGGTAAAATAGTACGAGTCTGCAATTCAAAAATCAATACTGGTTTTAATGGCTTCATAATCAATATGGTGTCACTGAAGCTTCTTTTTCAAGAGTATGTAGAAGAACGTATGCTTGTCCAAATGCTTCGAACGTTTTGCTTTCAACAAGATCCTGTGGAGATTTTCTTTGGTAAAATACAATACATTAGTATTAATTGTGCACACAAATTAAAAAATTGACATTCTCTTTTCACCAGGCAAAATACGGTCTTTGAATGGCTTCAATGACAATCCAACATGTGAGCAATTTTCTGCCGCGTTCAGGAAATTGTTAGCATACAACACGATCATGTATTCGAAATTTTCAAATTGTAGTGCCGCAGGACATGATTCGAATCCTTACTCCAACATTCTGACAATATCTTCAAAGCGTTCCACAGCCAACAATTTTGACGCTACTGACTGTTTAAATATTACAGAAGAGCAAATCGAAAAACTATATGATAAATTGCGAGAAATAGAAGATGCGGAAGAGCATGAAGTGTCTGAAGACTTATCTGATTACACCGTTGCACACATTGCTAGCTTTATCGAAAGTAAAATCAAGCTAACCAAACAATTTGGCTGTATGCTATGCAAACGAATTTTCGAAGAAAACACAAGAAAAGCAGAAGATGTCAATTTGAGGTCGGTTGGAATGCCATGTTACAGCACATTTTGTATTTGCAAACAAACGG